AGCTGCCCCCAAATACGAAACTAGCTGATGTGCATCCCAACGATGTTGATATTGTGGGCGACTATCGCTGCCGTCTGAAAGGCAGTGGGCAACTGACTATCAAAAGCGGCTGCGACTTGTACACCACCCCATTGACTACCCCGATTTCATACTCATACGATGTCACTGGCAATGACGGCAAGCACGAAGATGTCACTTCTAAGGTGACCGTGGATTTCCAAAGTTTCAATAATGCCACGCTAGCCAACACCCTACCCCTCTTGATACGGAATATGTCTGCCACCCAGTTCCTTACAAATCACTACCTGCAAACCCTTGAGGTGCTAAAATCACGTTTCTCGGCTAACGACGAGATTCTCATTTATTGCGTCATTGAAGTGGAGGCCAATAATGCAAGCAATACAGACCTAGAAGCTCTCATGGTCGTGCGCGCATTCAATTCTACATATCAACAGCCATCACATATTATCGAACGCGTGCGTGAGAAACGCTCTGCGCTGTCCGAATTGCTGCACACAGAAATTATCATCGGCTACGAGCCGTGCAGCATCCCCAATGTGTGCGCTAACGGAGGCGTGTGCAGTGCTTCTATTCGACTGTTAGACGCAAGCCACTTCAGGAGCATCGATAGCCCTGCGCTCGTACTTAGTGGACCACAAATCATTCACGACTACACTTGCCAGTGCGCCAAAGGCTATGCAGGCGAGCAGTGCGCCAGGCGCCAAGATCCCTGTCTACCCAATCCGTGCCAGGGGCAGGCCCAGTGTCGCCGCATGGGCAATGACTATCAGTGCGAGTGCCCAGCTAATCGGGATGGTAAGCAGTGTCAAAAGGAGCGCAGTGATGTCTGCTGGGGTAAGCCTTGTCGTAATGGCGGCAGCTGCCAGCGCAGCCCAGATGGCGCCTCATACTTCTGTCTCTGTCGACCCGGCTATCGGGGTAGCCAGTGTGAGAGTATCGCCGATTCGTGTCGACCAAATCCCTGCTTACATGGTGGCTTGTGCGTCAGTCTAAAGCCCAGCTACAAATGTAGTTGTCCATCTGGCCGCTTTGGACGCCATTGCGAGCGTTTCAGCTTTGGATTTGAGCCGCTTTCCTTCATGACTTTTCCCTCTTTGGACCCAACTACCAACGACATTTCTATTGTATTTGCCACAACTAAGCCGACAGCACTCTTGGTGTATAACTATGGCTTGCAAAATGGCGGACGCTCTGATTTTCTGGCCATTGAGTTGGTCAAGGGTCAGGCAGTTTTCTCATCAGGTGGCTCACGTACTGCTATTAGTACTGTTACAGCCGGCTTCAATCTCGCGGATGGAAACTGGCATAAAGTCACCGCCACTCGCAATGGACGTGTCATGTCGTTGAGCATAGCAAAATGTACGGAGTCCGGCGAAGTATGCGCTGAGTGTATTCCCGGCGATTCCAGCTGCTATGCGGATGACGTTGTGCCCGTCGGGTAAGAACTATAGACTAAGCCCATAATTAAACTATTTATGATAATTATCGCATTGCTATTATTACAGAACTCTTAACTTCAATAAACAGCCATTGTTGATTGGAGGCTTGCAGTCAGCAGATCCTGTCCTCGAGCGCCCTGGGCAGATACACAGCGACGATCTCGTTGGCTGCGTTCACAGCGTTTCTATAAATGGACGCGCATTGAATTTGAGCTCACCCATACAACAGAATAGAGTTCTACCCGGCTGCATTAGAAATGCCTGTCAGCCAGCTATAGCAGCAGAGCGCTGCAGTAGCTATGCGGGTCAGTGCATTGATCGCTGGTCAACGTCGCTTTGCCAATGCGGCGATCAGCTGCTCTCCCCCGACTGCGGAAACTCTCTAGATCCTGTCAGAATAAGCAATGGAGGTTTCATCGAATTCAAAATTTCTGAGCAATACCGACGCATGCAGCTGCTGGATAACCTTTATAATGGAAACAATGCATGGTCCACGCTAGGCACGCGCACCAAGCGCCTTTCAACATACAATGCAAGTGCTCTGACAACGTCTTTCTATGAGCCTCCGAAGCTACTGAGTTTTCTCTTCCGCACATACAAGAGTCATGGACTAATCCTATATGCAGCCACCAATCAGATGTACACCTCATTGTCTCTCCTGGATGGCAGACTCGTTTACTACTCCAAGCAGCATCTATCGATCAACATGACTGTGCCGGAGCCAGCAGCATTAAATGATGGCAAATGGCATAACGTTAGCCTGCACAGCCAAAGTCGAACTCTCTACTTGCTCGTTGACGGACATCAAGTGGGTGATGAGCTGGACCTTGCGGGCGTGCATGACTTCCTTGACCCGTATCTTTCTACTCTCAGCATAGGCGGCGCCTTGAGTGGTTTAATAAAGGAAGAGCCGTTTAGTGGCTGCATTGCCAACTTTACCATCAATAATGAATTGCAGCCGCTGAACGGCTCGGGCAGCATTTTCCGTAAAGTGGTTCATCATGGAAATGTTGAGATGGGCTGCAGTGGATCAGATATTGGTACGGATGCAGCCCAAGTAGCTGATCCGCTCAGCATTGGCATCACACTGGTTATTGTGTTCTTCGTTATACTTGTTGTGGCTATTTTCGGATCATACATTATCTATCGGTTTCGAGGCAAACAGGAGAAAATTGGTAGTTTGAGTTGTGGTGTACCGGGATTCAAAATTAAACACCCACCCGCACCAGCCACGCAAAGCCAAGCCGCTGATCATGTGCTGCCGCGTAGTATTCATGCTGGTGCAAACGATTCGCCTGCACCACTTGTGACTAACAGCGATCACATGAGGCCGCCTGGCCATCATTTAACTGGTCCCGAGCTGATTACGAAAAAATTCAAGGAACGAAGCGAGCTACCGCCAACTGCAGACCATCCACAGCCACAGCAGCGTCCTCAACGTCCAGATATAATTGAACGTGAAGTAGTGGGCAAGAGCCCACCAATCAGAGAGGAACATCACCTGTCTATACCGCCACCGAATCCACTGCACCCACTCGATCACGGAAGCTCCGTAGATCTGGGCTCAGAATATCCAGAGCACTACGATTTGGAGAACGCTAGCTCAATTGCGCCGTCCGACATTGACATCGTATACCATTACAAGGGATATCGCGAAGCGGGCGGCATGCGCAAGTATAAGGCCACCACGCCACCTGTAGCATCTTATACACACCACAAGCATCAGAGCGCAGCAGCCCAACAGCAGCATCGCCATTCGCCACGACATGCTGTTAGCGCCCCATTCGTGTCGCGCGTGCCCAATCAAAGCAATCAACCACCGTCAGCCACATCGACGTCTCGCACCCACCAAACAACTCCACTAGCGCGACTGTCGCCCAGCTCTGAGTTGAGCTCACAACAGCCGCGAATTCTAACCTTGCACGACATTTCGGGCAAACCGTTGCAGAGCGCTCTTCTAGCTACCACTTCTAGCTCTGGAGGCGTTGGCAAAGATGCGCTGCACAGTAACAGCGAGCGCAGCTTGAACAGTCCAGTGATGTCCCAACTGTCCGGCCAGAGTTCCAGTGCTAGTCGCCAGAAGTCTGTTGTACCACCTCAAGCACCACCGCAAAACTCAATGGGTCTCACTGCCGAAGAAATTGAGAGGCTCAACGCTCGACCGCGTACTTGCAGCTTAGTTTCTACTTTGGATTTGTCCTCCAGCAGTGAGGCACCCACGCCTCGAGTTCCTGGGGGTGCACTCCATCTATCGCTGGGCGGTGATGTGGACGCGCACAGTTCCACATCTACCGATGAGAGTGGGAACGACAGCTTCACCTGCTCTGAGATTGAGTACGATAATAATAGCCTAAGCGGCGATGGCAAGTACTCGACCAGCAAGAGCATACTCGATAGTCGCAGTCCTGTGGCTCGAGCAATCAGTGGAGAGCCCAGCAGGAGTCAAAATGTGGCAAAGACTCCGCCTATTCCGCCGCATGCCTACGATGGATTTGAATCATCCTTCAGAGGTTCGCTCAGTACGCTTGTAGCCAGCGACGATGATCTAGCAAATCATTTAAGTGGAATCTATCGCAAAGCAAATGGAGCCGCCTCACCATCGGCAACCACCTTAGGCTGGGAATATTTGCTCAACTGGGGACCAAGCTATGAAAATCTGATGGGCGTGTTCAAGGATATCGCCGAGCTTCCTGATACGACTAATCCACAGCAACAACAACCCTCCCAGCAAGTCTCAACTTTACGTATACCCAATGTACAAAAAGCACCTGAGGAGTACGTGTGAAATACTCACTTAGGAGTATCTGTATTAAGTGTAAAATTTTATGCGCCTTTTAGAGTTAAGCGTCGCCATTTCATTCTGTAATGTACAACGAAACTGTACAGTTATAGTTATAGTAAAGTTTCAAATAACTACTGCATTGATACATATTTATAAAAATATACTTTACAAAATATTGAACACCTTGTATCAAGGTTATTGATCCTAAGTGCATTTTCATATAGGTCTTCATCGAAATTGTACTGACTGATATGCCTTTGCCAACAGTAAAGCCAAGTCCAACTCAATCTTGTTGGGCAGTTTAGTTATATTAATTAAGCAATACTTCTTGAGATATACTTTTAGTGTTTAATAATCCAATTACTTGTGTAAATGTATGTATGTGTGCTATATTAAAATAGTTCCCGCTACTCTATTTATTGCCATTTAAGAACATTATAAACCAATTTTATTTCCGCTGCTGCTAGCACATTTACTTGTTTCGCACTACTAAAATATACTGAAAATACTTGCTAAAATATAGTTAATACATTTGTATACTACAATAAATAAATCAAAAAGTTGCATTTGTAAAAATAACAAAAAAATAATATAAGTAGTATTCATAGCGTGAAGTGCAACCGAAATAATTGTTGCTTTCGCCATTTCGGAGAGGGATTGTGACCTGCGCAGTGACTAACGAAATAATACTGGGGTTATTTCACAATTTTCGGCACTTCGTGCAGTTAGCTAGTTTACTACAAAAAGGCATATCCATCGGCTTCGAGTTGCAGTCGTTGCTAGTAACTAAAAAGGACCAGACATCTAATGGTGGACGTTCCAAAGCAAATGTGACATTGGACTTAATGTAAATGCGAGTCATAGAAAGCTTTGCACCGGATGCAAGCGTGCGTGACAGTTATAAATTAAAAACTAAGTGAAGAAAAGTATTCTATGCAAGCTTAAACAAGTTGTTAGATAATTGAAGCAGACGACAACATATATGAAATAGACGAGGAACCGTGGCTCGTCATGTTTTTTGAGCGCATTTTGGAGCGAAAAGACATTTCGTATAATACAACTCATCCAGGTAATGGGAATAGCGACGCCAACGAGACTGACACTTATCACTTAAGTGAAACGAACAATGTCATTGGCGAGGACAAAGACAACAATAACAACAACAGCACTAACATTAACGACAACAACAGCAATCAGTCAAATAACAGTGCAGATCCAAACAAAATGCAACGACGCTATGAGCAAACTGCGGGAGCTGCTGTGCAGCTAACCTCGTTGTGGGAGCATGTTTTACGTACGCGTCGATTGCCGGAAACAATTTGCCCAGCCGCAATGTTTACCGAATTCCATGAAAGGTTGCAGGATCCCGAGTGGCAGGTGCGCCAACATGCATTACGCGTCCTTGTCGACGTGTTGATGGTGATGCGATCTAAGGCTGACAAGCATAATATGCATTTTTTAATTGATTTGATCAAAAATCTCGGACATCAGGCACCGACTGTGCGAAAGGGTGCACTTGACTGCCTGCGAGTCTACCTGTCAGAGACTAGTGCTCCGGAGATGGTCATGCTCCAGATATTGGACACTGGGTTAAGCCAGCATTCCATCTACGATGAACGGCTTGGCTGTGGAGTGCTGCTCTCCTTGCCGCCATTATTACAATCGATTTTGCTCACGCCACAACGTCATTTTATAGTAAAGCACGTTATGGAGCGCCTGGTAGACCGTTTGCAACGTCAACAGACACAACAGGAGATTATTTTGAAGGTGCTGGCCAAAATAAGGGAGCTGTTGGGTGTGCAAGAGTTTGAACATTACTTAGACGAAGTGCAAAGTGTAGATGGTCTGTCCCTCTTTAATCAACTGTGCAACGTGTATGGAATATTGAATAAGTCCCATCGAGCTGAAGGTGCAAATACAGGCGCTTGGAGAGCTCTACCTCGGGAGCACACATGGCGAGCGCCGAGTACTTCGCAGGAACAGCAAGAGGTCCCACATCCAGAGAAAGGAAAAGTGATTATGGAAACGGAAATTAAAATCAACGATGACACACTTACCATGCGAATTCTAGAGGCAGAAACTGAGACCGAAGAGATAGATAGCCCCATTTTAGAATCAGCGGAACTTGTGTGCCGTCCACTCCCCGCACAGCCGCCACGAGAAATGGATGCAGGGATACTACAGATAATTAGCGACTCAGAACTGGAGGAAGTGAACGAAACTAATATTGGTACTCCCTTTCGTGGCTTGAAACGTGTAACATTTGGTGGAGAGGTTGTTAAAATGCGCACACCCGATAGTGATGCAGCTTCCTCTACGCACAATATCGATAACCCTGTTCGAGACGTGGACGGACACCAGACCAATACGCCACAGACTTCTTCTGTGTTAGAGGAACAACAGCAACCAGACAAAGACAAGAATGAAGCTTTCAAAATGACAGCTTTGACATTGGAGATTCCCAGCGATAATACCAAGCCCCTGCCCCGACCCAGAAGTGCACAATCGCCACAGCGAAACAACACTTTTCTAAAGGACCAAGAACAGGCCACGCAAAAAACAAATGCAACTACGACACATGCCTCCCCTAATCGAGACGTCTCTCCTACTTATCGTAGTCGTAGCATCAGTCCCGCAGGTAGCATAACAACCAGTCCCAAAGTACCACACAAAGAGATCGAAGTACTACACAATCTTCAGCGGGATACTGATCCCTCGCCTCGGTCCTTGAGACGAAGCGAAAGCGTCACCACCGAATTAATTACTCCACCTGGAATCACGACCGTTGTGCAAGCAGACCCACCAGCTACGCCAACTAGCTGGGAGGATCTGGACATTGTCAACTATAAAACTATCATGGACTTGCGTTCAGGAGTAAGTAAATACGTCCAACTTGAGTGTTCTGTATGAATATTTCACTATATATTCTGGTAAATCTACTGCAGTCATATTTGTGTTGGCCTATAAAAATTAAAAAAATAATTATATTAAACGCACGCTATTCCTATGGCCGGCGGTCGTTTCGTACGCTAACTGGGTTACTAGGATATATACAGTTTCATATGCGCTCGCAATTTGCGCCTTCATAATGGCAGCCACCAAAATTTTGTACACACACGACACGCATTACCTCAACTACAACATCTATATTGCTATTAAAATACCGGCGAACCTTTACCAAAACTCAATGGCCACACACACATATTAATGGCAGAACAATTCTGTTTATCGATAGACGAGGGTGTGCCCCCATGTACCAATGACCTATTAATTTTTTGACGTGAACAATTCAAAAGGCCCTACATTTTTACGTCGAATTTATGAGTGCGTTTCCCGTCAAACTTTTTTAAGTGACTTTTGGTAATTTGAATCCGACAGCCGTTTCTATACCCTATGTCCGTTGATTTTGGTAAGATTAATGGGAAGCACAAAAGGCTACAGCGACCCAATAAAGTACAAATATTCCAGATCATAATCTGTAGCTGTGCTTATCTAGACCTGAACGCACATTTATATCAAGCATTTTTCATACGTAATAAAACTTTTTCTACTCGCATCAAGTCGATTTATACTATATTTTAAGTATATTGTTAGAGTTGAGATTAACAAATTATGCTGAAGGGGACACAACTTTCTCGAATATATTCTCGAAACAGATTTCAGAATGTCTTCTAGTCACTCACGCCCTCATATATATATATGTCATAACTTGAGAACGTGGTGCATGAACTTACGACGTCTTAGTCATGGTGCATTCTATGTTTTTGCAGTATTGGTAGCTGCTGCAGAGTACTACGGAGTCCTGCCGGCCAATCATTTAAATGCACGCGATATTTTAGTAGCGAGAAAAACAGCAACAATAACTCAGTAGCAGCATGTATAGAGGACGATAAAATGGCAAGAAGCATTGCTGATGGAGACGCAGTCCATGCTGGAATGGGTCTGAGTGGGGACCGATGGAGCGTGCCGAAAACTGGGTCAACACTGGCACAAAAATAATAAAACATTAACAAAAATTATAGCGCGTACAGAATACAAAAAGGGCGCGAATAAAAAACAGCTACGGAGCATGGGGCAGTCAGGAAATTATTTAAAGCGACGTTATCGTTGCCAACACAGCTTGCTCCAATTGTATTTAGTAGAAACAATAGTCCCTCCTTTGCTGCAATTATTGAAATGACTCAGAAATTCGAGCCCAGTAGCTCACTTGACCATAAAATATATTTGCGGCTACATTAATCCATTCCTTTAATCTCCTTTTGCCAAGCAGGATTGGCGCAACCGTTTACAGGGTGTAGCCCAGCTTGAAATAGCTCTCAGCACATCCAGCAACTTAGTGAAAGTGCAGCCCCATCTAGATAGCCTGCTGCGCACCTTACTGTCCTCGGAGCGCCACTTTGAGGTAGCTGCGCTGAAGCGCGAGGTTCTAGTTAATCTCATTTCACGCCTACCACTGGACAACTTAGAGGAACGGACGCCACAAATATTGTCCGGTCTCTGTCGCCAAGGCAACGCTGGAGCAAATCGTGTGTGCAAAGCCCTCATGCAGCGCCTGCCAGCAGGCACTATAGTCGCTAAATTGACTGCGCCCGAGTATCTTCATGCTAAGAGTTCAAAGGTAAGTTTTCATTATTAGTCAATTAATTTAGATTATAATAGAGCTTTGAACAAATTTAGCAGATTTTTTTTGCAATATTTAACTAAGAACTATATTTTCTTAACTTAATCGATCATCAGTTTCGGGATCACGCGCTACAAATGTCCATCTACTCGCTGATGTCCTTTCCCGGCACATGTTTCGACATAAACATCCTCGCAGCTCAAGTGACCTATGCTGCACTTAATCGCAAGCGTCGCGTACGGCAAGCAGCCTTAGAGGTATTTTCAGTACTTGCTGATATATCTTCGGTGGATGAGGTGATGCAAATTGTTGCCGAGACAGTGGATAGCATAGAGTCAGGACCTGCGCTGCTGGCAGCTGTGAAAATGCGTTTGTCCCGCCTCCAGCTGCCCATAATTACAACTGATGGATCCGTCCTATACACATTCCATAAGGCAGATCAAGCTGGGCGAATGCGCTTTGGTGCAGATGTGGACTGGATCACGCAAGGCGAAGGCTCTGCGTCACCAAATGCCGTTAAAAGACGTCGCCAGCAATTGGCCAATAAAAAGCGTTTGCAGGAAAGCAAAGATGCAGAGGACATGACGAATCAAAGGTTAATTCATATTATTTGAGTTTAACGTGAATTATTCAAATCTATTTTGAATTTTATAGCTCTCCAATAGACGAGAACTTGCACCGACATTCATTCCACTCCCCGCCCGAAGCGCTAGACATGTCTCGCGCCTCTAATGTAAGTTCAACTCGTATAAACAAATAGCCCAGACCATGTAACAGAACTGTTTACACTTTCAATTTCAATTTTTTCTTCCAGGACTTTTTCAAAAAAAAAATGTATTGTACTAATTGTAAGTATGTTTGGGTCTTTAGGCCAATATATATGCCTAATAAATTGTTTGGCATTTCAGCTAACTATATGGAGCGTCGCCTGGGAGCCAAGGCATACTCTGAATCATCAATGGATGGCAGGAGCACTGACAGTACGACAACGTCCTGCAGTAGTGGCAGTGGCAGTGGAAGTTTCATACAGTTGACTCCTTGTAATTTGGCCATTAATAGGCGTTTGGCTCGACAAAATTCGAGGTAATGGCAAAGTATTTCCAATTGTCATGCTAACTCATCCACACTTATCTTTGTATAGATTTCCAATTATGAAGCGACAAACGGATTTTATTACCAATTTTATGCGCAATATAGAACGAAAGCCATGTACGTACAGTTTTGAAGATACAAAAGATCATCCGATTGTGAATCACGGTGTGCACAAAAGTCTCAAGCAGCAAGTCCAAAAGGAGCCAGCCGGACAAAAAATATACGTGGAACAGAATTGGCTAGAGAGAAGCAGTCAATCTCAAGGTTAATATAAATAATTCAAGCTTCTGCCCAAGCTATAATAATTTTTTTTCTTCTAAGCAAAAGCAATAGCAAAATTAAAGGATCAGCAACTGGAAACAGCGCTGAACAGAGATGTTCCAAATGGTTCTAAATTCAAGTAAGTTTATCAACTCGTAAATTATTCTAATTCAAAACAAACCCTTAATCCGCTTTATTAATCCAAGTTAAGTTAATTTAACATTATCAAGTGCTTGGTATAATTCGTATATAGATTGTATGTTAATATTGGAGCAGTGTCGCCATGCGTTCATCGAAAATCACAGCAAAAATAATGTAGTTGTTGACCCCAAAAATTGGGCACGTCATACAACATCGCCACCTTAAAGGTGCCATATCAAAGCGCAAACAAATTCGTTATTTAACCTAAATATTTAAATGCGCGCTGAAACATTCATCAGGGACAGGATGTCCAATATAAGCCCTAACGAACCTTCAAATGACCACTACAAATACCTGTTACCTACAGCCTGATTGTGTAACGCATGTTATTCTATTTAGTCATCGTTTCTAGGTGCTTTTGAACCATCCTTTGCAAAATTAATCAATATTATATCTGCGCTTGCAACGCAAATTATTTTATTTTATGCAACGGGCGAAATATTGAATAGTTTGTTAACCATATATATTGATATATTAATAACAAAAACGAAACACCCATTTATTTTATTTATTTAACCGCATATACCCATTGAATACAGTTTCCCCCTATTATTTGATTCAGTTAACAATTTTATTTACTTTCGTCCTATTTTCAATTTATTAAGAAATGTCAATCCAAGAATAGAGCTTTACTTATTTACACTATAGTTGCATGTAGGGTACCTAGTGTCAAACAGTCTGAAGCTAAACTGTTTTCTATTTACGGCCTTCGTGACAGACGCACGAAGAAACCCGAACATGACTAAGAAGGCGCTCGATTGAAAGCAGAAAGTCCAACTGTAAATACCAACAGTGAAGGCACCGAGGCAGGCCAATGGCTAGCTTCTCGTAGTCGTCGTCAAGCTATATACATATACATATATACACATATAATATACATAGGAATATGTATAGCTAGCTATATTCAGGGGTGCCCGCTGTATTGGAAGTGTCTGACTTTCTGTGAATGTGTGTGGGCTTTGGCTACTGTGGAAAACGCAATGTCCTGTTTTACATTTGCAACTTTAGTTGTGTTTAGTTGTATTTCCCTGAAATGGAAATAAAAGGCGCTGTGGATTGGGCGTTTCTGCCCTTTTGGTGGGAGAATTGAAGAGGTGGTCAGCCCGACGTCCTACGAACCATTGCAAACAGTTTGTAAAGTGGCGTTGTTGCTTAAAGTGGTCAAGTAGTGCAGGCCATATGCTAGTGCTACAATTAATACATTTTAATCAGGCTCCTCGTCGGAATGTACTTCTATAACTAGGTTGTTTATTCAAGACTAACTTCAAGAATTTAGCATAGCTAGCAAAATGCCAAATTTCTTTAACTGTGGCGGTCGACCCGCAAATCTTTTGGTCGTGCTTCGCAACGCGTTCCATACAGTTAGGGAATATGTATTGGAAAAGGCAATGATATCTTATGATCGGTGTCTCTGTCAGTGTTGTCTTTGTCACACCAAGCGAAGAAAATCAATGCGAATTGATAAAACGGCTACAAATGTGGCTGATAAAGTGACGTGGCAAGTGCTCGACCCACCTCAAGTAGTTGACAAAACTTTCGTGAATGAGGGTTTCCCCCAAGTAGAGCTGTGAGTTTTTTCTTTTAGTGTGAATGTGAACTAAAAATGCTTCGATTAAACTAATTTTGTTTTTTATCTTTAGAGTAAAGGCCGAAATACCTAGTCAAGTTACAACAGCCATCGAGCCACAGGCAAGCAATCATAACGGAGAAGGCTCTCCCCTATCGATCAAATCAACAAGCTATTCTCAAAAGTCAACCGCCTCGGCTAAATCATACGATGTGGGCAAGCAGACCACGTCTCTCTCTGTTGAAATGGACGCAACAAATTTAGAAACACCATTCGGGGAGCTAGTAGTCGACGACATTGAGGAAGAAACAGAGTCTCCCTGCCAGGAGCCCGCTTTGAAACGGAATGAAAGCGTTAGCAGCCTGCAAAGCAAAACGGAAAGCATTAAGACTCAACTCGAGGATGCAACGCCACAAATGTCGCGTGCTCAATCCATGAAATCGCTGGCTATTGAAGAGGAGATTGAGAGCGCCAATAGCTTTGTCGTTGTTGAGGATATGCAGAATGAGCTTGAATCAACAGAAGTAGAGGCGGTGGCCCTTCACAAATTACCAGAGCTACCACCGAGCAATGAAGCACAGCTCCCATCGGCCTCTCGAATCTCATCTAGCAAAAAGTCTGAAATCCTAGAAGACGATAGGGCCATACACTCACGCAGTATCTCACTCGACTCGCTTTATGGGCGGCGGCCCAACTCAAAGCAAGATTCTCTGGACACCAGTACCAGCACAACTGATAATAGCTCTCAAATCGGGTCTCACTTTGATCAGACCAATCGGTTGCCTGCGAAGACACAACACACACCGTTGAAACAAAAGTCGAAAACATCATATCTATTGCGTGGTCAGCGACGCGTCTCCCCCGTTAAACAGGCCATTAAGATGTCGCAGACGGAGCTGTTTCCGCCCACTATGTCAAGCTTTGAGAAACCACGGGAGGCTTTACTCAAGACATTTGATCAACTGGACTCGAATAACTGGGAGGTAAATATAACCGGCCTGAAAAGCATGGTGCGCCTGATCCGCTACCATGCGGATTTTCTGGATAGTCATATGCATATGACATGCATTCAACTCACTCGTTCCGTTCGTAATCTGCGCTCACAAGTGGCTCGAGCAGCTTGTCAGGTCGCCACGGAACTATATACGTTGAAATTCAAATCATTGGAGTTAGAATGTGATGATCTAGTCTGCGCCCTGTTGCACCGCACGGCGGACACAAACCGATTCCTGCGTGCAGATGCCACCCGCGCCCTAGAGTCGATGGTGGATCACGTCCAGCCTGCGAAAGTTCTCAACATACTGGCAGCCAAAGGAGCTCAGCATCAGAATGCCGTAGTACGCACTACGACGGCGAAGCTGATGTTTAGACTGGTCGAACGTTTGGGCTGCGATCGCATCTACTCAATGGGCCGTGAAAATCGTGATAAGTTCTTCACTGTCGGTGCGAACCTCCTACTTGAGGGCAGTCTCGAAACTCGTAGCTATGCGAAGTCGCTGTTCCGAGCTCTATCAGAGCACGCCAGCTATCAGCGCTTGCTATTGGAGGTCATACCACCGCGAATATATCGAAATGTGGAGAAAACTTTAAGAAGCATTACACGCTAGTCACTTAATTTAGACAGTTTTTTATGTAAATAGCAATCATCTTATTTTGAACTTTTTCGATGTTTATACTCTTGATTCATTGATGTACATGGTCATTGCTTTCAATTGCCGTTAAACCACTGTTCGACTAAATATTCCTTTCGTGGAAGCGGAGTTTCAAGTGATATGATCCCATAAAAATCAAGTCACTTTATTCTATGGTAAAATTGTTTTTGTACAGTGCAATATATCTAAGCTTATTAGACTTATACAAATAAATGTTACAATGAACTTAACCTAAGGAGCTTACAGCAACCTTCTACCATGATTATATCTCTGATCAGATCTGCGGTTACCCCCACTATTGTTGTGCTGCTGGTGCTGTTGGTGCTGATGTCTGGGTCTGTTACGGTCAATGACAGCACTGTCGCTGCGGCGTCGGGCATCACTATTATATTTCTTTTGGGGGCCAGCGTACTGCATTCCATCCTGGATACTATGTCGGACATGCCGTTGTCCTCCTGATTGCTCATTCACGGGCGGGGCAGGCGATGAGAAATCTTGAGAAAATGGGTTGCGAGTTCTACCTTGCCCCATCGCTGATAGCTTCGGTTTCTCTGGGCATTGCTGACGAATAATCAACTTCTTTTGAAATAGTTCCAAGCCCTGATATAGCTCTACTGCATAAGGCACCGCGATTTTGTGCTGGTAAGTAACAAACCCGAAATTACGTTGCCGCCCTGTATTGTCCAGTGGTATTCGCGCGCTTTCTATGGGCCCCGCTTGCAGAAACACTTCATACAATATTTCCTCCGTGACGCGCTCGTCTAGGTTGCTGCAAAACAGAGTGCGAACCTGCTCCTCATCATCCTCATCCTCTTCGTCGACCTCCTCTGTGTCAAACAGCGGATAGGAAGGCATTCCTTCTGGGCACCCATAACCGTAGCCACCGCCTACGAAATTCATTGGTACACCTTGAGGGAATGGGAGCTGCATACCCATTGCATTGCAAATTTGTTGCTGCAGAGCTGCCTGTTGAATGGCAGCCACAAGTTGATGATCCATTGAAAGTATATTTAAAAAAGAATACAATTTGCTTATATTTGTTACAAAAAAATTAAGACTTAGTTTTTCGATTGCGCTCGATATATCGATAACAATGGCAGCAGAACTGTGTACATAGCAAGTGTGACCGTATTCAGCTGGTACAAAGGCTGCCGTACTTTTAAAAAATGGAATGGCCGGTAAAAGACACAAATACAGTTGATAATCAAATTGATATTCACCCAAGTATGTAGCCAATTATGAGGAAAAAGTAGTCATGCCGTGATTTGCTGTTATATGATGTGCCTACATGTCTGTCATGCTTAGAATAGCACGGAAGGAGTCTCTTAACATTCGCTTGTTGATTGTACTAATTGTTGTCGTTGCCGTAACTGTCGTAGCTGATTGGGTTATTCAACTGATATGTCTTATCACCATTATACGACTTGAATCAAAAGTAGTGCTTAATCAACAATCGCATGTAGTAGCAAACATAGAAGAGCGCACGACGCGGCAGTACCTGACTGGATGTTACCCTATAAGCCACGGTAAAATATTTCTTATATTATTATTATTCTGTGTTCTCTATAATTTGTCCTATTGAAAGTTTATGTCGCCTCATAATATAACTCTTATTTACATATCGAAATTTGCACTGCCTATATGGAATTTTCATGATGTAGCTCAAATGAAATTGAGAGAGACTTTCTCTCTGTCAATGTTTGAATTTATTAGCTGGCAAATAGGCTAGCGAAGATAGATAGATTCGGCAGCTGATGATAGTAAACATCGGCTTATGTCAGTTTTAACAAAACAATTATACTTGCTATTATTTCTAGTTACAGGGTATAAAATGGCATATTTACAATTGCAACTATTCGTTTACAATTAATTTTTATCTGTATCACTAGAACGAATCTTTTTTTAAATTTTTTTATTATCTACGTTTCCTTCATTACTAGCTGTGCTATGAAAAGCGGGACGTTGTTGCTTTCCGATTTCATTCAGTCAGTGCAAGTCGGCATAGCCATACACAGATACAGCGCCAATTTAGAATGGGAGAAGTGCCACAAATAAAAGATTTGCACAAAGTGATTGAAGTCTTTTTGCAAGGCGACAAACTCGAATCCTATGAGAGCCGATATCTAACCAAGCCCGGAGACAATTATGGAAGCCTTATGTTAGCTATAAGTGCAAAACTTAGGCAATCGAATGATGTGCTCAAAGATATGCAATTAATAGCAAAATTACCGCCACTCACCAACGATTTATATTGGCAAATATTTCAACCGGAACGGACCTGCATCACGGAAAATGCTGTCTATAAGTATTTAGCACCCGAAATAGAGAAACTTCAACTTGAATCTGGTGTTCTGCCTGTCAATCTGTTCGATGGCTTTCCACGTTACTTCGGCTCGCGCATTTCACTTTGCCCGGAAGCCAATAAAGTTGATCGAGACGCGGTTCTCGTGCAGGAAAACCTAACCATTCGAGGCTTTCAGCCTGGGAATAGACATAAACCGTACGATTTGCAGCATACTGTGCTTATTCTTCATTACATGGCACAGTTTCATGCTTTGCCCATTGCCCTGCGTCTTAAGAAACCAACAGTTTTTGAATCTAAAATACGACCCTATTTCAAGAAATTCGATATGAATAAAAATATGGAAGCTGATACTAAGGATATGTTAAAAGACGAATCCATAAGGGATATTGAGGATATCGCCGACGGAGACATGACCATTATTAACGGTGTAAAGAAATTGCAGGATTTATTTAATGAATTTGAAACAGGGGACGATGTGAATGATGGTCCTTGGACTTCTATAGGTAAAAATTTGTACTTTGAATCTTTGAAGGTGCATTTCATAAAAATTTATTTTGTTAGTTCATATGGACTTATGGATAAATAACTTGATGGTCAAATATGGTAAGAATGAATAATGATTATTGATTAGCAGATATTTTGTATTTAGCTATTACTTAGATGAGACTGGACTTCCCGTTAAGCTAAAAATTGTGGACTTTCAGATCGCTCAATATGAGTCCGTGATTCACGACTTGATCTTCTTACTCCTCTCAAGTGTGGGTGAGTTTTGAAAACACCAATAATGTGCAATAATAATTTATCAAATAATGAAACTATTCTTTATCATAGATACACCCGTATTAGAGGAAAACTATTATAATTTTCTACGCATATATTATGAAGCGTTCATCCAAGCATTGCAAAAGGCAAATGTAAATACAAGGGAATACAACTATGAGGCGTGAGTATATTAAATATCATAAAAATATAAGTTTTATAAGAGTTAATCTAGCAAGTAGAACAATATTTAGTTTTCAACAGCTTCCCAAGCCAAAAGCAGATTAAAACGTATTCATTTTTGTATATATTTCGGTTAATATTTGTTTTAACAGCGAAAAATTGCGAATAATCTAACATTTTAAGGGGCATATCAATCAGTCCGATAAGAACGTTTCGCCCAAACAGAAGCAATTGCGTAATATGCGTTTTTGCTTTATCATTAGATACGCCTCTACGGTCAAACTAACCTGTTTAAAACAAAATTTACGTGACAGAGCTAAACTCTATGTACAAAGCTTTATAATGCTAACATGTGGCGTTGTCATAAACAAACGCCTAGCTTTATTAATGCCAAAAATAAAATTATGAATGTCAAAGAAATATAATATGAGAATAATAATTTATTAAAACGTAGGGGCACACAAATAACAGCAACTAACAAATAAAGATTTTTAGATGGATTCTAACGGATATGTAAAATAAAACTGGTCTTTACAGTTACCTTCAGGAAGTGCAACGTGTGGCACCTCTACAGGTTCCACATGCTCTGATTATGACTAAGGTAATCTTGGCCGACAACAATACACTACCAAGCGACTACAAAGACGTTGATTTGACGATGATAACTAAAAAAGGAAGTGAGAAAGTTATGAATAAACTCAGAGACATCATACGATTGGCAAGAAAGTTTAACATATTTGAATAAGTTATAAACTTCTATTGTAAACATAAATTTATTAAAAGTTAACTGCCTTAGTTTTTCGGCTTTTACTTTATAATTTGGGAGTGCAAAAATAGCAAAAGAGAGCTGAAACTAAAAGTTATCAGCACTCAGCCACTTCCACGCGTTATCGCAGTGATAAGCAGCAAATCAACAATAATTTTTCTGTATACAGAAGCTTTTGTCGATTTAAATTGTTCACTAAGTTAGCAACACGCAGCACTGCAGTGCGGTTGCTTCCCAATATGAGCCAGTTGCCAATAATTAAACAGTTAGGTCAGGTCATCGAGCCTGCACTTAATGGTGCCTGCCTCCATTCCTATGAAGTGGATAGTCTAACTCAACCGGGTGAGAATTATGGCAGTGTTTTAATATCTATACGTGCTCTAGTACGCAGCGCTAATGGAACATTGTTTGATAAGCGGCTGGTGGCTAAAGTGCCGCCAACAGACCTAAAATATTGGAAGTTTATACAACCAGAGCGCACCTGCCTAGCTGAGAATGCAATTTACGAGATATTGGCACCGGCTTTGATCGCTTTGCAAGAGGAAGCGGGCATTCACAAGGAAATGCAATTCGATGGCTTCGCCAAGTATTTTGGCTCACGCATATCCCTAAGCCAAAATGCCAAAACTGTTGACAGAGACGCAATTTTAGTTTTGGAAGATCTGCGGGACGATAACTATGTGCCGGGTCAGAGGCTACGACCTTTCGACTTGCTCCACACTCAAATTGCCTTAAATTACATGGCGCAGTTCCATGCGCTAACAATTGCACTACGATTGAAGAAACCGAAGGTCTTTGAAACAAAAGTGCGTCCATTCTTTGACAAGTTCGACTGGCATGCAGCAGCACCCGAGGCGAAGGCCACAATGATAGCGGAAACTTTAGCAGATATCAAAGAAGCCACAAACAATGATGAGACCACGATAAAGTCGATAAAGAAATTGTCGACTGAATTTTTTGCATTTCTTGCAACACCGCCAATCGAAAATAACCCATTTAACACTGTCATTCACTCAGATCTATGGACAATGAACTTAATGTTCAAGTATGGTATGTGATTATTCAAATATATCTGAGCTTATATGAAAGATAATCTTTTGTTGCAATTCTACAGACCATTCCGGACAGCCCACGCAATTGAAGATAATCGACTTTCAAACAGCACAGTACGATTCTGTTGTGCATGACTTAATAGCATTTCTGTTTACAAGCGTATCAACGCGTATTCTAGAGGATAATTACTATAATTTACTGAAATTTTACTTCAATGCATTCATTTATACTCTGACTAAAATTGGCGTAAATACCAATGCATATAGCTACGAGACGTAAGACAAATTCGCAATATAGAATATAGAATATAGTGAATAAAAACATTATTAAATATTCATTTTTTATTTTTCTAGGTTTGCTGCTGAGTTAAAACGCATCGCATTCATTCAAGTGCCTCATGCTATATTCATGACCCGATTTATTTTGGCGGATCAGATCAATTCCTCTGCGATTGATCTCGAACTGTCTGAGGTGCTTAAGGGTACAAGTTCAAATCGAGTGCACAGCAAGTTAATTGAAATTTTACGACTAGCACAGAAATTCCAAATAATTTTAGAATAATTATTTTGTTTACAACGGAAATAATAATAGTCACTGATTAGTGCTAATTATGATTGACAATTGTAATGAACCTTTTGAATTTATGGCTAAATAAATGCAGACTTTACTCATTGAGTTTTCTGTAAGCAGACGAGAAGGCTATGAATGTGATATCCGACTTTTTGGTCTTTGCAACAGTGTGGGTAGTTATAGCATTGCATTCGGAAGTCGATTGCAAAGAGGTATATATACAAACATCCAATTCCATCTTTAATTGATATTTATTATGACTTCCGCACTTCAGAAATGCTACTACATCAATTTGCTTTCCTCAAACTGGACAGATGACCGCCCACGATTTGTTGTTAATATGACGTTTTCAAGCCAAAATGGCATCGCATCTATAACTACCATTAACGATCCTGTTGCATCCCCTGTCGCGAGACTATTAATAGTACAACAAAGTCCCAACGAAAGTAAGCGCATTGTTTACAACATGACGACCAAATTATGCGCCATAAAGGGTATGATTGACGCTGTTCCACTCTTCAAGCCTGTCAAGGATAACATGCTGAAGCAGAGCAACTATACATTCAGCTGTCCTCTGAAAAAAGGAGTCTATGTAATGAACAACATGCGCATCAATCCGAAAAACCCTCTTCTCAGCGTGCTATACCAGGCCAAAGGCACATTCACGGTTATGGGTGCTTTGCTTGAGGAATTGCCCAATACTCAAATGCATCCATTGTCCACGTACAACATTGAAGGAAAAATCTTAAAAAAGCCTTGTGGTCGACTTGAGTAAACATATGAAAAAACTTTACCAATTTGTTAAAACATTTTTATTTATATCTTTGGCATGGAGAGAATAAAAACAAAGCAAGGGTGAAATAAACTCATTTGTTGATATTTGTATTTAATATGTAACTAATTAATTGAAACGAACACATATTTTTATCTAAGTTTTAATGCTCAAACAAATATACCCTGTCACTGCAACTCACCTACTTAAGCGGACAAAATATGTAGCATACTTGACGGCTGTAGCTTAAAATAAAATTGACAAAAAAATTAGTAAGCAAAAAAAAATGTGCTTATATGATTAAAAATCTTAAGAAAATATATTTTTTTTTCTTGAAACCTTATTAATTTTAATAGTCCATAAATACATGAGTAAACCCCTATAAAACTTAAAATTTCAAATTGAAAAGGCTTATACCAAGGTAACTCTCGGGCAGACATTGTATAAAACTAATTTACTCTTTTATTTTATGGAAGGGTACAAAATTTAGCAGGGGAATAAATATCATTATCAGTAAATTTGAACTTTTGTCTATATGGGTTGCACAGCTGCGGCCGTACTTCTAAGTCTTCCTATTTTCCTATTTTGGATACACACGCACATAGCTAAATGGGAATTATATGTAAATATATATACACGATATAGAAATCGATAAATCGCCATTCACAGTGTCAATGCTCAAGCACAACTTTCTAACCATGAGACACAGCACTTAAAATGATTGACTTAGCAGTGAATGAACTTTCCTTAATTGAACTTGGATATTCATATATATTTTCATACGTATATATATTATCATCACAAAAGAACATTTCGAATGTTGTACTTAACCATGTACATAGATATTCGGTTTATCTTATATATTTTCGAAAATATAAAGACGGAAAAGTCTGCAAGCTGAGTCAATTTTAAGAAGCAAAGATATACCACATATGTATTCATGCATTTAGTATATACCATGCATATAACAAAGGGTATATTATCACCGTTTTTTAACGTCGTAACCCAACAAATGACTTATCAGGGACTCATAATCAGTTTATAAGTGCAAAAGAAAAACAACTGAGGATCTAGTTGAGCATAACGTACATATATATACTACATATATGTATGTATGTACTATGCTTTGTTTATGTTAATCAACTATACTAATTATGCTCCACTTATATATTCAATAATGAATATTTATAATTAAACATAATACAAATAATTAGTCCATTTAAATTGTCAATTAAAAGTTGAGTAGATACTGAACTGCGACAAGCTCGGAGCTTTTTTTGGATTTTAGCATTCTATGAGTTTTGGTTCAATGTGCTAATCAGCCAAAGAACAAAAAGATCACTTGGGAGACGCGTGCGAATATGACGTAAAGAATCGGGCTCGCGTGTACGGTTTGGACTACGGAATACGCCAACGTCAACGCCAGCATTCAAAGAAGAAAGCAGCATACTCTGTGATGCTGATACAGATAGGAGACGGAATTGCACTTTCTTTTATAATTGCGAAGGAAATCATTTCATTTGCCTACCACGATTCTAAAAAAAAAAAGCTAATACACTATAGTATTATTGCCGTCACACATTACTTTTTTTTTAAAGCTTAAAAGGCTGCAAAAATGTTTTGAGTGCAATTTTGCCTTTTGTAATTATTTTGTTATTCCTCATTATTAGTATTAATATTGTTATGAATTTGACTTTTGTATGTGTATTGTATTGTATTGTAAATTGCCTTTCGTGTGACTTAAGATTGACACATGCATTCGATAAGGACCATTGCATTTCAATTAAAACACCCTATATTTACAAATACAGTAAATTTAGACACAAACTGAAAATAATTATTTCTAGTATATTTAAATATTATTAATTTCCATTTAATATTCCCGTTTAATGTATTACTTATTCAATTAAAACGATAAGGGGTATTTCTTAGTCGATATTGACGTTAATATTATATTGCCCACATTTGTGCTAGTATATATAATTATTTTTAAACCATTTTTCTAGTAAACTTAACAGCAGAAATTAAAATTAAAAATATATAGCTTAACAGCTTTATCTAGGGTATTTCCTAGTGAGATCCGTTCTTAGCTCAGCTAGTATATTCGTTTAAAGCGGTTGTTTAATTAAATAGAGTAATGTAATGTTCGATATAACATGATTTACAATACAGCTGTAAAATTGATAATTCAATATCTCGCTTCGTTTTAGATTATATTTCATGTGCCACTTGACAATGAACACTACTAATAATCATATTTTTGGTATAGTGAAGCAGTCGTAATTATCAGCTGATTTGGCTGGCGATAAAACTAATTGACACAATAAAAAATGAGCCACCCGCAAAGAGAACAACATAAACATGAGTAGCCTTGGCTTCCAACTCGTCTATAACATTTTAATTTCACACTCTTGAATACCATTCGTTTAATAAGTGAATTTTTAATTGTGACTCATATTATCCGATTTCCATTTGGTCAAGCACAAATACGCATCATATCTATCACGCAGTCTGGCCGTGCGCCATGTCGTAACACAAGTGCATATATAAATATATATAATTTAATTTTATTTCAGTTTTTTTTTCTTTGTGGACTAGATAAAAAATTTATGAAATGTATTCGTTTTTTCAAATGGCACACGAAATTATAAAATGATTTATGGCGACCTGATAACGTCCGTTATCTATTGACCAAAGCTTAGCCAAACGTTTTTATAGATCACGCTATCCACACAGAACAAATCATTCGATTTGATGGCATATCAATCAGCTTCGCACTTTATTCGCACACTTACTAAGAATTGTGTCGTAGAGGAATTGACGTTGTTGAAGTTAGAGAGAAGCCATACTGTCGACAGCAAAGCTGTTTTATTCATTTTTAAATCTCTTAATTCAATAGAATTTATACTATCAAAACAAGCGAGAGTTTAATGAAATTTATAGCCCTGTTGCTAGCTGACCAATGGAAATACGTAAAAACTTGACTTACTGATCAATTAATTCCTTTTATTATACCCTGAACCCATTGAAAATGGGAAATCAGAGTATAATGGTTTTGTGAAAAGTATGTAACAGGCAGAAGGAATCATCGCAGACCCCATAAAGTATATATAACTTTTTATCGAGAATAATCGAAAAATCGACTTGGTTTTTTCAGCCTAGTTTGAACACTTTTATACCTGGAGACTTCAAATTTGCGTTGTATATAGAGTTAATGGACACAAAGATTTTGTATTTTACAGATTTTGGATACCACGCCCCCTTCGCCATCAATTTGTAAAAAACGCATTTCAAGTACTAGAGACTTGAGCTTTGAAATGTACACACATTTTAACCATATGCTTACGCTCTAAAAGTTTCATTAAGATTGTATGTCTACAAAAGAAAATATTCAACAAATAAATTGTCATAATATTGCCCACATTGCAGCGCAGCCCAAGAGCAGCCGCTCCTTACTGCGCAGTTAGCAGATCGCGTGCTTATAAGTGCATGTGTATGTATGTGTACATAGAAGAAGTGCAGAATGATTAGAATATCAGCTTGGAGGGTTCAAGGTATCTCCTAGTCGAGCAGTCTCGACTGGAGCCTTCTTACTTGTTTGTTTCTGTTTTGTTGGTATTTCAATCGAAAGCCTTTACTAAATACAGACAAGACTTTCATATTAAATTATTTGTTTTTGTTATCAGTTAAAATCGATGGGACACGTTGCAGTATGAGCTGAATTGTATAAGCTGTGGATTGTATTAGTTGTGAGCATACATTCTTTAACTTGCTTGATTTGTATGCAAATCTTCTAGAGAAAACTTAATGGAACCAGCTTGAGATCAGTTCAAATCTCGAAAGACCTGCATTGTAAGATGTCAACAAACATGTATACATATGCTGAAACTAGTTTTCCGTATAAAAATACACTTCATTCATTTAAATAGCAATCGGTGCGGAACTCAAGCGAATTGCGTTCATAATTAGGAATTGACAAACGGTTGTTTATGGACTTTTTAAGTCCGACAGGTTTTTATTGCCTTAGTAACGTAATTATTTCATATACCACAAATGAACTGCTAAGCAAGCAACAAATATCGGAAATAAAAAATTATAATAATAACATAAGCAAGCAATAAATATCGGAAATAAAAAATTATAATAATAACATATACATATACCTATTTTGTTGAAATATAACAAGAACAATTAAAGCAGTGACGACTCAATCATAAATCAGTACAGCTCAATTCCCGTATAGCAATATTATCGCTCGGGCATTCCTTTATTACAATAATAAATTACTTTATCGGCTGCTGGCTAGTGACCCCATTCCACTTACACAAGCTCACAGATCGCTGCCTATACAATACATATACTTATATAAAGGCAAGTTTGCAATAAAAACAAATGGCCCTTTAGTAGGCAAGAATGACCGAACAGGATATACCCTAATCCTACTTAAAATATTGTAGTTATATTGGTAAATAATTTTTATTCTGGATTCATGAAATATTGATGAAATTTTATATGTTTTAATATTGAAAGTTTTAATATTGAAGTTTTTTGTGTAACATATTTTAAACCAGATCGACCTGCTTCTCTACTGCCTGCTGCATTCGTATTGGTAAAAGCATTATACCCTGAATTCCTGTTTTTTAAATGGGTTCAGGGTATAGAACTGTCCACTCACACATGTGTATAAATATTTGTGCAGTAAAGCTTTGAGAACGGCAGGCCAACCCATTTGTGGAATAATGCAACCACAGCAAAAACAACAACAACCACAAAAACAACAGCAATAGTGAGTGCTAACGCATAAAACGCCGATGCAAGTGTCACAAATGTCGTCAGCTCAAGGTGAAGTGCATCGTTCAGCCGTATGGCTGTTTGCACACTTGTTTGCCAGTGGTTATCTATATGAGCGAATACCCTTTTATTCGCAATTAATGTCGCTCTGCTGCCACTACTTGTATTGTACGACCATTAATCAATAAATCAATATTTTACTGAAAAGCATTAAGCACATGTAATCAAAAAGTAAAATGTTATACTTTTCATTAAGGCGTTACATATATATATCTTGACATATATTTTATATGAAATTTACGTGCGTATTTATTTATACATATGTATACGAAAAAGGAAAGTGCCAAGTAAATCTCTTTGTACACAAATACATATACGGAGAACTTTTGCTATTGGGAAATTTCCACTGAAACAAAATTTCCGTTCGCTTATGGGACAGCATTTAAATTTGAATATGTATGCGGCTCTTTGGGCAAAGTCTCATACATATGTTCTCTATTATTATTTCCTCAATTCTCTTTTCTAATAGTCGCCGCCAAAATATGAAACATAGTCACACAGTAAAACACTGTAGATTCTTTGAAACAATCTAGTTTTTAATCGTGGTAATTAATATGTTTGTATTACAATTGATATTTTAGATGAATATGTTTTGGTTTCATAGAGAAATTCAACAATTGTCAACGATTAATATTATAATAAATTTGATTACTTAACAAATTGTAGACTACAACATTTGAGAGAGTGTTTACTAGTACGCCTGTGTAAATACATAAATCTAATTTCAATGACGCCTCAACAGTGATTAGTAAGAATTTTATAAACACATATATAATTTATTCCAATTACCCATTCCACACAATCAATTATAAACGTTACGAATATTTTTTCATTTTTAAATGCGATAACAAGCACAGTTTCCAAACTCTTTAGTAAATATTACTTGAATGAATCAAATACAATTTGTATATTATGTATCAAGATAATTGCAGCAGTCAAATTAAAATACAAAATTTCATAAATTATAATTAGACAAAGCAATTTTTATTTATATATAATTTCTAAAAATAATTATGGCAGAATAATATTTCATTTGTATTTCAGTTTCAGTTTTTAGGTTCCGTTGTATTCAATTTCCATCATCACTTACTTCGTTTACTTAAATGCTAACCTACTATTTCTGTTCTTCAACCTGTTGTCTTTTTACACACGCAAGCAAAAATTAGTTCTTCATCTTAATCAAAGTCAAAATATAGGCAAACTGTACAGATAGAACGTCCACCTGCTGCTGTTTCAACTATGTTCTAATATACATCATTGAATCTTGAACGCCCACAAATAGCAGAGCAGACGAATTTCGTCTGCTGCTCTATTCATTCAGTAGACACGTACGCACTATCGCGCCGCATACGGCATACGGGTCACAGTTGGAGCTGGGACGACGATCCTCAAGGTAACCTTTTCCGGCTGTAGCCACGCCTCTTGGGACTCGAACACTGACGGCACGATTAGCCACGCCCCATGAGAATTTGTCGATGCTTGAGGTCTCCAGACGTCCGACCAGCCGACGTTCGTTGTCCTTGCCCTCTTTGGGGTCGTAGGCCTTGATGTGGCGCTCATGATGCTTGCTTAGCTTTTCGATGGCCTCCTCAATGGCTTTCATGCCTCCATCGGCACGCATCGCTTTTGTCGAGAAATTTGTGTGGGCACCCGCTCCGTTCCACTGGCCCTCCATGGGCTTGGGATCGAATGTAACGACTACACCGTACTCCTCAGCTATACGCTGCAGAATGTAGCGCGACACCCAGAGATCATCACTGGCCTTCAACCCATTGCTGGGACCTACCTGGTATTCCCACTGTGCGGGCATCACCTCTGCATTGGTGCCGGCAAAGTCAATACCAGCGTATAGGCAGGCAATAGCGTGCGCTTCGACGAGATCACGGGCATATACTCTATCGGCACCCACACCACAGTAGTAGGGTCCTTGTGGAGCTGGAAAGCCGTTGTCGGGCCAACCAAAAGGACGACCATCGACATCGAGCAATGTATATTCCTGCTCTATGCCAAACCATGGCTCCTGCTCTGTAATTTTGTTAACGGCATCCTGGAATGCGGCGCGCTTATTGGAGGGAGTTGGCTTGCCATCGGCATTGTATGTGTCGCACATGACAATAATATCATTCTTTCCTGGCTTGAAGGGGTCACGGTAGACGGCTCTGGGCTTCAGAGTTGTGTCTGAATTCTCGCCATGCGCTTGATACGTGGAGCTGCCGTCGTACTGCCAATCGGGCAGATCATCTACTGAGGTGGGCACTTTGTCCAGGACACGATCCTTAAGACGGATGTGCTCTCCAGTACCATCGATCCAGAGGTATGTGGCCTGAACACGATTAGCAGGAGTCTCAAGATTACGGTAGCGCAACAGGATGCTCTTATCTAGAACTGTATTGGGCGAGTTGACCAGGAACTGAGCGTTGGCTACCCTGGAAGTGCGCATCAGGCGCAGCTGCTGTGCCGCAGGAGCTGCCAGCTCCCTTTTCAGAAAGAGTCCAGCCACACGGAATGCCATAGTGATGCCTGTATATAAGTGAAGAAAAGGATACGTTTAGGCTTGATTGAAGTAGTCTAGAAGGATAATGTACACGGCACTCTGTGCATGTATACATAATGTATGTATACGTAAAGTTCAAGGATAATGGATTTGAAGTACTTGCGCAAGAGATGTCATTTCAATGTTACAATTTAATTTTGATTTCTGCACTCTTGAAAATAGTTTTAATATTCACATTTTTTGCTCATACAATACACTTACACAATACTTATGCACATATGCGTATGTATGTGTATACGTGCATTTAAATGCATACGTATTACGCTGCATTTACTGCATTTGTTTTCGCTAAACTTACTTTTCCACTGATTGCGCTGTACAGTTTTATTTGTGTATGTGTTTATATACGATTTTATCTTTTTTTTTTCTAATTTTTTATTTTTTTATTTTTTTCTTCAATTTTGTTCTCTTGGTGGTATAGCTCGTGTATTTAGTGCGCTTTTTTATCAGTTACGGAGCGACTGTTTGGGACGCCCAACCTATGCGAAGTTGGGAAGGTTTGTGAACGCAATTCGCGACACAACATTCACTTTTCTCGTTTGGCTCGCCAGTCTCGATTTTTCTTTATCGCACTTTCAGCCGATGGAGAGACGAAGGCAGCAGCAGCAGCAGAGGCATCGGCTGTAGCGACGCGTCCTATAGTGATACCAACGAGAGCGTGCTCAAAACATATTCAATCCATTTACACACACGGCAGAGCAGAGAGAATCAAAGAGAAGAAGAGAGAGAGAGCCACACAAGTGGGCGCCCACATATACAGTTGCAGTCGTTGCCTCTGAGAGCAAGTGAGTGACAAACAAACAAACCATGAAGGCTACCCAGATTACTGTTTCTTGGACACATACGATAATATCGTACACTTTGTTGTTGTTGCCATTGTTGAACAATGTGATATGAATATTGGCATTAGTATAGTTCTTATATATACATACATATGTATAAATATAGGTTTAGATAAATTTAGATAAATATCGCACATTTTCAATTTCTATTTCTAGTTCCTTCTTTATATTATTATTGTTTCTTATTATTTATTGTGCGGGCCCACTGTAAAAACAAGTCTGGAATACCAAAAATGTAAACAAGAGAGCGCAAGTATGCAAATATGCATACATACCTACATTCATACATATGTACTTAGCATTCCCATTGCGCAGGCTCTCGCTCTTCGTCAACCATGCAGTAAACGCATTTCGCATTTTTATCAGTGCAATTTCGCGCTATCTGTGGTTTGACCTCTACCAAGCTGTAAACATTGCCGCGGGCCATACAACTGCAACAGGGCAGCATTTGCCTGCTGATATGTGCTTTGGCACATGCGCTGTTCTCGATAGGGACAGTGAAGAGACAGAAAAGGAGAGAGAGGGGCTGACAATTGGAGAGAGTGCGACTAGTACAAAGTCCACTTTCTGTTTTTTTCCTCTGACACACAAAATTAATGGTATGCTAACATAAAACATTTAAGTTCATACATACATCTGCACGTATACGAATCAACACATATATACACTATATATGTATGTATGTATACACATTCAAAAGCCGGCATCTGTTCTGTTTCTATTCTGTTTTTGGAAGCTTTTTGTGATGTACAATTTTGAGCCATGCACGATAATAGCTATTTTTTACAGTGGGAGCCACAGTCAAGACTCGTTAAGTTGACGACCTGACTTTCGGAATTTGATTAAAGCATTTTCGTAAAAAAAAAACTAAAAAAATATATATATATTTCACTTTTTAATATTAACAATGTACTAACATTTTCTGTGCGGTCTGCTGTCAGTATTTTCTTTAAAAGATTTTATAAAAGCCCAAAGATAGGCTACACTTGGGCCAACATTTTATTTATTATTAATTTTGAACTCGTGCATTATAATACAATATATTTAAGTTAATGCTTATTCCGTACCATAATTTTAATCAGTTTTATTCATTTTGTGCTAGTTTTCAATAAAAAATCCTTGAAATTTGCTCGCTGAGGTGAATTGAACTATAACAAAAGCCGAAACTGAAAAAAATATATGAGGCTATTTCATACACATGAATATGTTTCTACGTATATACATACATGCATAGATATGTATGTATGCGAGAGCATATTTTAGTTTTGGTATATTCGTTACATCGTCTAACTGACGTAATTTTGGCCAAGCTTTCAATTTCTATTACACACACACATACATCTGGCGCTTTTCTGCGTGTACGTTTAGTTAGGTTTTCCACCATACTGTGCAAGAGAGTGTGAGTGTTTGCAATTGCTGCACAGTTTGTAGTTGGCTCGCACAATGCGTTTCCAGTTGTGTGGCATCGTTTCCAGTGGCTGCCGGTTTGAGATTTTCTTTCGCAAGCAGCCAACTAAATATGTTAGGGCTGTTTAGCAGTGCATGTATTTGTATAACAATTGCGTCTTTTGTACTTGGCAGCATTAAAAAAGATACACACATGCATATACTCTGAATTTCGGATTGGCATTTTAGTGGATATTGCCACTTGTTGCTTCAAGGCTACCGCGAGAGGGTCTTCGCTTAATTTCTTTTGGTCATGCACCTTGAACCGTTTCACAACGTCGCATAGAAAAGGAAATAAAATCGCCATCGAAATAGCTATGGATAACTATAGTTGGGAGCAGTTTTTGGAAAATAATAACCTGTAAGTAATAATACACTTATCTTGGAAATCGCTTGAGTAAATGCAAGAAAAGTCCCAATTAAATCAAAAATTGCAAAAATACTGGTTAAGTAAACCAGCCTTTTTGTAGCTCAAATATAATACAAAGTCGTTTTGAGAAATGACCGCAATGTCAGTGGGAAACAACGCAAGTTGGGTCATGAAACACTAGCTGCTTTGCATAACTAAAAAAAAAAAAAACATATATACACTTAATTCTTTTTAATCAACTCTGTGCGAACAACGTACATATATAAATTAAAATAGTAAGCTGCGTATAAAACTTTAAGCTTGGAAAATTGTAAACATGGAAATTCGAAAACCAACAACCGGTTTGACTTGTTGCAATAACACATGAATCGAAAAGAAGTTTATTGGATTTGTGCGGTCTGTCTGTCATTTTTAATAAGAACAAATATAAATTATATATTTTTTTTATTTATTTTAGTAGACTATTAAATTAACGAGGTCAAGCAAGGTCTTTATATCTATGTTATAGACATAATGCATAAAACAATATATGTATAAAATGTATATATTGTTATATATATATAACATATATAATGGGTCTGAAATATAATTAAATAAACACCTGACTTGGTAGCAACTGGCGGCTATTTTATAGTTAACACAGCTAACAGCTGTTATCAAATAACCGTCATATAATGATCCCATGAATAGCGAGTATTTTCCTTATCTACAGTATCCAATTATCAAAGCTGGACACATAAGTATATACAATTCGTTAGTAACCGTCGCACAGATGATAAAGAAAATGCAAAGTCCACAAAAAAGGCGTTAGCGATAAGAACAGGAGTGACCGACTGTCTTTAGTGTATCCAAGATTAGATAACAATCAGATCGAAGTCAAAAAAGTCAATATCCTAATACACTTCTATATCTCATGTCAAGTCTAGTAATGTATTTATATTATAATCCTGGAAAATGTACTTTTTTTAAGTAACTTAAATCTAATAGCTGCCTTTATTTGCCTAAAAAGAAATTTTTCGTTATATATACTCCCATTTTCATGCCACATACATAGCACGAGCAAACATTTTATCAGCGTAATAATTAATGACTAACAAGTAAGACAAATTTCGTTAACGGACTTTGTTCATTGAAGATAAGCAACAAATACAGGAAACATGAGCGAATCGTGAATGTATGAGCGAAAAATACAGGGTTTAAAAACAATGTGTTTCTACTCAATTCAATGTTATCGGTGCTCATATATATATATATTTATATATATTATCATGCTATGTGCATAAGTATAGACATTTTGTATTCATACATTCGAAACGTGTATTAAATTTTGATAGGTTTCATTGATAAGCGACATGAATAATCTACAATTAACTAACCGCCACAGCAAATTCATACAGAGAGAGCGAGCGTGAGAGAGAAGGAAAATGGGAGAGAGATAGCTAATAAACTGGCGAATCCTACGATTTGACTTATTATATAAAAGTTAAGCTTTTTATCAATTGAACATAAGTATCTCAGAATTACATTTGAACTTTAGTCAGTGCACTACTGCATGAAATGTCAAAATAATTATAGTGAGCACATCTATAATAGATACAATCATACGTTCGTATAAGCTCCATTCTGACATTTCCGTATATATCTGTGTGAAGCAAATACGCGATTTTTTAAGATGATGATTGTTAACAGATGTGTACCTGCCATTCAGGTAAAGTTCTCCAAGCTGTCCATCAACCTGTATTTGTAAACACATACATACATATGTATGTATATATAAGTATGTACCACTACATGTATGCTTACACGAAAATGTTTTATTTTATGGCGAGAAAATAATAAAACCATGTATACAAAAATACACTGAGAACCGATCAATTCAGCGCTGAGAATTTTCCACAAGCTCTATGCCTCGGCTCTCATCGAACTGAGAGTAGAACACTGGCTGACTATTGCCGTCGCGTTCCCGCCCCCATCTGAAGCATTGGCGTAAGCAGTGGAGCTGCCCGACCGTACGAGTCGCGGCTGCGAGTGGCGGTGGTGGTTGCTCAGTGTTCGGTCTCTCGTGTTTTGGCTTTGTTCCGTCCATCACCTTGCGACTGCCACTGCGACTGCTAGGCAGTCAGTTGCGATCGCGGCGCGAGCGCGTTAAGTACTAGAAGTCCGAGAAGAGGAATAGTCGGTTTTCGACAAACGGGTGGAAAATTTTTCCATGTTGACGGTGGTTGAAACGCAAAAGAGCTGAAGGGGCCGCTAATAACGCCCTTTGCAATAGTGGTTCAAGAATATAAACAAAAAGCACTTTTTAAACACATTGAAATATTGTAATATACTATAATATAATTGCGGTTTGACGGATTGAAGTGCAGCGTACGACTGCAAACTGCAGTTTGAATACAAATTCGAATAAACATATAATACACTGTTCTTGGTTAACAACCCATTGTCAAAATGGTTTCGAACGAAAATAAAAATCTATTGAATGATAACAGATTGGGCGTCAGCGGAAATGGAGGCACTGGACAGCCGAAAGCCCAAATTGTGCCCGCTCAGCCAAAGACTCTGCAACATTTACCCAAGCGACCAGCTGTGGATTTGGCATTCCATAATTTGACTTATCGTGTCAAGGAGGGCAGCCGAAGCAGTAAGTACCCCAATCCCAATCCCGTCAAAAGACTGTCCATTGAAGTTCAAGCAGTGAACATTGAGTAGTGAGATTCACATTCACTAGACAAAAGAGTATAATAAGCAAGGCGGCAGCACTCGTGCTGCACTATTTCCGCTTATTCGCCTCTGTTGCTCTCTAGAATTGCAATGCATGTTAATTCGATGTCTACAGCTCGCTTTTGACTTTATTATGCGTTGTGTGCGCTCTCTGTCTCTCTCTCTATCAGCACTTCAATCCAGTTTTGCTTTTGCTTTGCTTTGTGCTTCTTTCTGGTTTCTTTGTTCTCGTCTACATATATCAGCAGTTGTCCGGCAGCGTTGCCACATCGCTTTCTGCTGGTCAAAGTTTAGTGGAACTTTGGACTTAGTTAATTGTATAGATGGATGTAATTATAGCTGCTTAAGATAAAGTACCCGTTGGCCCATTGTAAGCCACAAATACAAGCCCACAAAACTGCTCAACAAGTAGCTACCAGTGCTAAGCATGCCTGCCTGTATGCCTTTACTGATACATACATACATATGTAAATGTTTTGATAGAAGTGTATGTCTGATTTTGTATACACATATGTATATATATATATACATGAATACATATGGCCAGAGCAGCATGTATACCCAAGCTCTAGCGAAGGGTGGAAGAAAAGCATGGGGCATACGCCTGTTTTTAATGACTAGTGTTTCTGAAATAAATACACATGCATGACGGGCTGACTACGTCAAACCCATTATTTAGACCCTAGTGATATAGTGATATCTCTTACAACGTAAATATGTATTATCAATCAGCGCAATGGGTTACGAACTTATATACTTATATATATTATATTTTTATCAACACTCCCATGTTCGTATACGAAGCATACGCTACGTATTACAGGGTATTGGGTGCAGCTGCTTTTGTTCTCAGGTAATCGTAAATCAACTGTGCCATATGCAATGGAATAACTCATTATTATTTTACTCGTATGGAATTTGCCAATGGAAAAGCCATTTCTCCTATGATTCATTGCCCAACGTGTTCTACTTTAAGGATGATAATTCAATTGATTGAATGAGGCAATGTCGACTGTGTAGCCATGCCCATGGCCTGTGGCCTTCTCAAGTTTCAGCTCGACACCCAGTTAGTCAATCAGCATTTCACTCGCGAGCATTCAACTGTCCCACTTAATTACAGCTCAACAAATGCTTTAAAAAAATACTTGTTTTAGCAGTTCGTACTTTTGCACTTAACAGCTTTTAATATAAAGGTCGGAAAATCAACTCTCTGAAGGTTGCACTCGGACATAGAGCAGCGATTACTGCTATTTTTTTATTCTTAACGCACGAACAGGCCTCAGAAATATACATGTATGTGCATACATATATACATGCTTTACAAATATTCATTCATCTTGGCGATATGTTAAATATATTTACCAAATTCTTGCCAAATTCAAAAAAATACAATAAAATTCCGAACAAAACACAGATAAAGAGCCGCATACAAATTATAAGCTTTTGATATAAACATACACAAATTATTTTCTGAAAATTCTTTAAGAGCAATTGAATTCTAATATTTGTATACAATATTGCATGAAACGGTAAAATTTCTTATGTAGTGCGTAAATAAAGGCGATTACTTATATGCTATACGCTGCCGACCTGCTATCCGAAACATTTCAGTCCGAATTATTTATTAATTAAATAACCGTAATGCTTGGCATTAATTTGTCAAGCGTATCTTTGTCAGTATGTACATATATATGTAGTACCGGGGTTTTTTTTTTTTTTTTGAGATGATATGGCTGGCATTTTCACCTGTAATTTTGGGTAGTCAAATGCAAAAACATTGCGTAATCGTTGTCGCTATGTGGTCTTCTAAACACTTACTGTCAAGGTTCACTGGCGACTGCCGTGTTGAATCACATTGCCAAACATTGAACAACATGAAGTAACCTGCAAAAGTAATGTGCATTATGACAGAAAGGTACAGGTCATGGTAGTTAAGTGCAGTTATAAAAACTATTTTGTTACTTTAGTTTTGTAATGCTTGTGAAATGAAATAATAAAATTTTTAAGCTATTACTAGGGAACTAAATATAATAATAGAAACCCCAACCACAATATTTAACTATGAATTAAACTACAACCCTAACCAAACTTATAAATTAAAAAAACTTTAAGATTTCAGTGTTAGATATATCTAGCAATCTGCAAATTATTGAACTCTAATCAAATAAATGCTGTTAGTGCGGTTTATCAAGTACCTAAAACAAGTTTGGTAACATTTTTAAGAGAACGACGCTTTTCCGTTTTGTTGTATAGTGAGTCAGTTCGTCGTTCTTAAAAGTAATATGCTTTGTAAGGTCGCACACGTCTGCTTCTATCTTTTAGCCTTTCGCCAGTTATGGTCATTGAAAGTTATCCATTGCAAAAATCAATCCTTAGACTTGTAGCTTGATTTTCAATTCGTGTGACTAGTCGCCTTAAGTTCAATGTAATGTCTATCTTTCAATATATGTATGTAAATCAATCACCTTCATTTAAAACTACATATAGACAAGCACGTTGTCATCGGCATTTATATATACGTCTCACTTATGGAGGGCATCAAAATAGACAAAGGCCAATGACCGTACAATTGTTGTTTATTGAAGTTCCAAAAATTTATTTATTTCAATAATTTCAGACTTCTCTAGCTGCTGAGTGTGCTGAGCAATATTTTATATTTAATATATGCACATCCATATATAGTAAGGGACAACTGAATTAAACTGTTATTCTATCGGCTACTGCAAACAATTAATAATTAATATTAACTCAGTCATATACATTTAATCCTTGAAAACAACTATCTTTCTAGCTGCCAAAACCATTTTGAAGGGTGTCAGCGGGCGCTTGCGGTCAGGAGAGCTCACAGCCATCATGGGTCCATCAGGTGCTGGCAAGAGCACATTACTGAACATTTTGTCGGGCTACAAGTGAGTGTGCTACTTTATAGTCTTCTTATCGGCATATTATGCATCACATTTTTGTAAAACAACTGTTGGAGTATTCGACTAGGCAATACACTGAATCCTATTGTGGTAATGCACTGTTCTTACGCCTACTTTAATAACAAAATACAAGAGTTAAGTTTCTACCTCATATTAATTTATAGCTCGACATTTTTCACTAATTGTTTTGCTATAGATAAAATTCTGTAATGTTCATATGGAGTTGAAGCTTATTTTATGAGTACTATAAATTTCTTGAATAATATTCGTAGCTATGACACGATAAAGCCGGCGTGCTCGTTTGTGATAAACTAAGCTTCCGGCATGTAATCGACAAATTGTTATATTATCATTTATACACCCATACCAAAATGTGGTTGTTGATCCAAGTGCTTATATAAATTCGACAACTTAACTGAACTTTGGAGCAACCTTGTACATATAATTACATATGTATATGGGTGTGCACATACATATGTACATGAGTGTATGTATGCCTCACACTCACTTTCTCGGAATGTGCGATTATAATCTAGTAGAATAAACATGTGCATAATAGCTTGAAAACAAATTCTATATATTATGAATATAATAAATGTATATATTTAAATATATACCCACTATATTATATATATGTATGTGTATACTCAATTTAATATAATGATGATACAATGTGTACTCTTTTTTTTTCTAGAACAACAAATATCGAGGGCAGCGTTACCATGAATGGCTCAGAGCGCAATCTGAGCACATTCCGTAAACTGTCTGCCTACATAATGCAGGATAATCAACTTCACGGCAACTTAACTGTTCAGGAAGCGATGACAGTGGCAACAAATTTGAAGCTGAGCAAAAAGTTCACAAAACTGGAAAAGAATTCAATGGTAATAACTTAGCTTAAGTCGCTTGACTAGACGGATGTCAATCTGTAAATTTGTTACTTTAAATTCAACAAGAAATTGGACATGGTCCATTGGGTAGAGCTAACCAATCGTTGTATTGTCTAACAACAATACAACAAGTTGTTATACCTTACATCGCAGATAATGTATATAGGATCATGATCATGACATAAGATCTACCTGTCTGAGCATAAAAGTCGATAAGTTGACTCATCACTTTTAAATAATTTGTGCAGCATAAGTCATAGCTATATGTCATTACCTCAAACCATTCTTTTTTAATACTGCAATCGAAAATTACTATAAATAAACATCTTTGTTTTGTTTTTTAACAGATTGATGACATTCTTTTGACTCTTAGCTTGAGTGAACATCGCAATACGATGACGCGCAACTTGTCGGGAGGACAAAAAAAACGTTTATCGATCGCACTTGAGCTGGTGAGCAATCCGCCAATCATGTTTTTTGATGAGCCCACTTCGGGACTGGATAGCTCGACATGCTTCCAATGCATACATCTGTTGAAAATGTTGGCTGCCGGTGGACGTACTGTCATCTGTACTATCCATCAGCCATCCGCCCGACTCTTCGAGATGTTTGATCAGCTTTACACCCTGGCCGATGGACAGTGCGTGTATCAAGGCAGCACTAAGCAGCTAGTACCTTTTCTATCGACTCTGAATTTGGAGTGCCCGAGCTATCACAACCCAGCTAGCTATGTGATCGAGGTCTCGTGCGGAGAGCATGGCGATCACACACGCAAGCTAGTCGATGCTATCGACAATGGCAAGCGGGACATTCGCTCTGCGGCTGACTATGCCACACTCAAGGCACGCAACGATCTGGTGAAAGTCCAAAATTTGAAAGCGATTTTGGACAAAAACGATGTGTCTACCGTCAATGGTAGCAAATACGAGGAGAACCTGACTTTGAACAACGGCTTGCTAAATGGCATGGTTAACGATATTGTAAAGGAGACGAACAATTTGGGATCACAAGCCGTGGTGTCCACCAACGAGAAGGGCGACGCCATGATTGATGTAGAGAAGACAGACAATTGTACCACCGCTCTGCTCTCTGAAGAAATTATGTCGCCGGAACGTTACCCAACCTCACAGTTTCATCAGTTTTGGGTCGTACTTAAGAGAACTCTTCTCTTTAGTTACCGCGATTGGGTAAGCTTGAAAACTTAAATCAGCCAGTAACAAATACTATAATCATAATCAAAACATATATCAATGTTTTGTTCTCGTAGACTTTGATGTACTTGCGTTTGTTCGCCCATCTCCTTGTTGGCTTCCTCATCGGAGCTCTTTACTACGACATAGGTAACGATGGCGCTAAGGTGCTCAGCAATTTGGGCTTTCTGTTCTTCAACATGCTGTTCTTGATGTACACATCTATGACCATAACCATCTTGTCATGTAAGTCTATAATCTCTATGTATTGTCAACACAAAATACAAATCACAATGTTTCATATCAACAGTCCCTCTTGAAATGCCGGTGCTGCTAAAGGAGAACTTTAATCGCTGGTATTCCCTAAAGTCTTACTATTTGGCTATATCAGTTGCGGATCTACCATTCCAGGTGCGAGCATTTAAAATTAATTTTATACTATATGTTGCTATTAGCTTTATCTTATCCATATTTATTTCAGGCCATTTTCTGTGTCATCTACGTATCTATAGTATACTTCTATACGTCACAGCCATGGGAGCTTTTCCGTTTCACTATGTTCTTATCGGCTTGCCTTTTGATTTCTTTCGTGGCTCAATCTGTTGGCCTGGTCGTTGGCGCTGCTATGAATGTTCAAAACGGTGTTTTCCTCGCACCTGTTATGTCGGTACCATTCCTGCTCTTCTCTGGATTCTTCGTATCCTTCGACGCGATTCCAGTTTACTTACGCTGGATCACGTATCTATCATACATCCGCTACGGTTTCGAGGGTACCGCACTGGCCACCTATGGCTACGGCCGTGAGAAACTGAAATGCTTCCAAACATACTGTCATTTCAAGTCGCCCACAACTACATTGGAGGAACTGGACATGGTCAACGCGAATTTCACACTTGATATCGCAGCGCTTGTTGCAATTTTTGTAGTGCTGCGGGTTTCAGCATATCTCTTCCTGCGCTGGAAGCTTAAAACTACACGCTAACTTAAATTTATAATATATTATTGTTTTTATTTTGGGTTACAAAGCTTTCTGTATGTACATGCATCCCTATGTATCTTATAATATTTCAACCTTTGTTTTAGATCCCAAAACGATTTATAATTGTGTATAGTAATTTCATTTATAGTTATATTCCTAACGTTTCTTAGAATAAGTGTGATAGGACCAATAATAAAGGTTTCACTGTGATCTGTATTTCAGCTCCAGATATTACATAAAACTTGTAAAACTTTAGAAAAACAAAATGATCAAATGTATAACAAATAAGCAACCCAACGGCGGAATTTTACTGGGTTTTGGTAGGGTTTAGAAACTTTAATAATAATACATTAAAATGTATTATTTATAATATCAAATGCAAATACGAAATAATTCATATTTAAATGCAAAATGAAGGAACAAACATTGTAAAGCCATTTTAATATTTTTTTGTAATTTAAATAATAAATGTCTTTTACTGATTTTATATTGAATATATTTTTGGAATAAAGTTAAAGTGGTACTTAAAGAAATGTTTATTATGATTTCTACCCCATGTGCTAAAAGTTAAATACAATTTTTAGGAAATTTGAATTTGATTACCATGAGCCCGTCATATACGAGAATTCCTATAATTTTTAGATCAAACAAAAAGATGATTCAGCTCCACAGCTGAGTGACTAACTATACTCCCCTATTTTCTATAAGAGTACTCAGTCTTCGCGTAACGTAAAAAGCCGGTTTCTTTTTATGTAAAGTTAGACCCGAAATCAAGAAAAGCAACACTGCCGACACAGCCACTAATGCTGCACTGTTTAGTTCTTTAAAGGAAGGTATGTCGGATTTTGTATGGTTAAGTCGGCAATCTATACCGCGAGATACTTTTCATTGGCTGTAGTTCGCATTTAGAAACGTATAGAAACGACAGCATGCTGCATTGTTGTGACTGGTTCTGTTGTTGTTGTTGTTGGCGGTGGCTCGGTCTATCGGTCAGTCGGCACTTTTCAGCAACTGCATCTGTTGCATATTGGTTTTGCAATATTTTTGCAATGTGTATAAAATTGGTTACACATTCTGTTTGAATTTTTATAAACTGAAGTTTTTTACGAGCTTGTAAAGGAACCACTATTAAAAAGGTTTTAAACCAGAGAGTTTAAAGACAGTTTATATGAGTTGCTTGGCAACCATTTTATGAATATTGCCAAACAAAGCAGATATCAAGATGAGTCGACAGTAATGGGGGGCACAGGACGCCATTGTAGTCCGAACTAGCCTACATAAAGATACTCAGTGCAGTTTGGAATCGCATTAACAAGTTGAGGAATATTTTACTCGTTTATTAATTCGTACAAACTTTATTTTTAAATTATTTTGGAAATAGATTTACAAACTATTCTTTCATGTATAAATTATACTAAAATTATATTGCGAAATTCTGTTTTATTACTTTACAGGGTATACGAATTATCACTATCAATAGGAATTAGTTGACTGCCGTAAACTGCGAAATCTATTGCGGTAGGTCGCAGAATGCGAAGATATTCTCGGTTGAGAGAAACAACAAAGAAGATTCTTATTGAGAATGACGATTCTTATTCTAGTTTTGGGCTTTTAGGACTGTTATTTAGCCCTACATTTTTACTATGCATAAAGACCCTGAACCCGGACTTTGCAAGTGGAATAGTATTAAGAAGGTTCTTGCCTCCTCCTAGAAGAATTCTTTTCCGTTTCTCTTTGTTCGCTGCGCATTTTGTAGCGTTTCGTGCTTTTCACTCGGATTGAGTGCGCAACACGCTTTTGTATGCATACAAACCCACACACTCGTACTCACACTGACACATATTGAATTAGTGATTATATGTGTGTGCAAAAGCGTGTGTGTGTGCTTGCCTGGCAGCCGCCACTCTATCATTCTTCCTTCATTCGTTTTCAGTACATTTTCGTTTCTCGGTGCAACAAGTCGTTATTGTCGTCGTTGTTGCTGTGGCTGTGGCTGTTGCACGTACATATCACGCCCGCCTCACTGCTGTTGCACAGAGGGTGAAGAGAGTGGAAAGACACGGCACAATCACTAACACACTCCCAAAAAGAAAGTGAAGTGAGTGAGGAGTGTAGTGCAGCTCTAACTTTGAATTATCTATGTAAATACGTAAAGAGTGCCAACGAGTTCATAGTAATTTAGATTCAGTCAATGAACTTGCAAGTCGACATCGATGTAAATCATATGCTTCATTTGTATGTACTCGCAGTACATTTATTAATAAATATATAAACATACATATATATTTATATATATTAATAAGCATGAAAGCATTCATAAACAATGCACTTAACCCATTCCCTGCCGGTAGGGCAGACAAACGGTTGCAGCCACAATGAAAAATATTATGTTAGAAACTCAAAAGAAATAACGTACAGCCCTCTACTGTGAATATAAATGTGAATGTGTGAATATGAATGTGATATATGTGCCGCTCAGACTTATATCGTTTAATGGCACAATCTATATGTATGTAGGTGCATATGTACTTGTCCAAGTGATACGTACTGACGCATGGCGTTTATCATACAAAGTTCAACATTCGCCGGTTCAATGCATTCGCATGCACCATTAGTTCCATTGTGATTAAAAAAGAAACACAAATAATAACAATAACAATAACAAGGAACAATACCCTATATACATATGTGCTGCCAAATGATATGAATATGCATGCAAGAGTCAAGTATACAGTGGCATGAGCACGTAGTCAATTTGAATCGATTAATATATGCACCCAGATATATATACATATATATATGGGCAATCGCCAAAAATGCCTTAATTTAAATTAAGTAGAAGCAGCCAGTCATTGATTCATTTAGGTTAAGTATATATGAAATCAATCGTTATCAATATTTACAGCTTTGACGCAGCGATAAAGCTGTAAATAGCCAAAGACCTACATATTCTGGGTTACAGACTTCTCGAATTGTGCACCCGAGTCTTCAGTACCAGCCAGTGTCACGGAGTTGAGCACTATTTCCGCTTCAGATATATATAGTCTGATAACACTGATGCGACTCCTATTCATTATCTAAAGCTCGTACAGCGCAACGTGCTGATTGCAAAGCTAGTACGATTCGGTTACGCAGTCGAAAGCTTCGAGCCGGGTTCTTGCTTTCCGTAATTGTGCGAGATAGTTGTTGTCCGCTCGTAGGCTGGTCGCATACTACTCAGAAATCAGTTACAATTCTCAATTTATTACTCACAACGAGCTAAGATGCGAAATTTTTATAACGAACTCACTTCAGTGAGAAATTTGTATATAGATCGCGTTACTGTGCCCGATCGAGAGAAATAATACGAGCTCGTATGTTTAATTAAAGCTGAACATAGAAGCCATTTTATTTTCACACAAATTCTGGGGTCGTCAGTGCGTGCTGAGCATCAGAAGAGAACAACTGAATCACTCTTGAATTATGTATAAAATGTGTACAAGCTCTGACATATAAGAAATAATTATAAACTAGAAAAAAAAAAAAAATAAATAAATAAAAAAGAAAAAATCGAAAAACCAGATAGTTGTAATCAGTATTCTTGCTCAAATAAAAATGTCAAAATTAATAAAAAAAAATTTTTAATTAAGTATTTAAATTATCTATAATATGTATGTATGCATGTGTATAAGAACAGGATTTGTTCATAATTTGCTGATACTTCACGGTATAGATTAACTATAATTATAAAATCTCGACAGTTCGAATGACTGTGAGCACGAGCAAAAAGATGAGACACAATTCCAAGTAAAATCTAATGAACTGTTATTTCCGACAATAGGATAATTATAAACTAATACGAGTATACCGCACGTTTTTTCTAAATTCCCATACTTATATAAGTGATTGTTAAAATAATGCGCGTCACGCTAAGGTTATCATATTGACAGCCCGTCAATAATGTAAATCAAGATCTGTAACTATTTCAAACTTCTATAATCAATACAGCTGGACGTAACAAGCAAAAAATGCTTTTTTCCGATTTCCTATAAACACTTAGGATGCAGTGCAATCATCATCTACGGGGAGCCACATGCTCTCAAAGCGGCAGTTCGTTAGACTACAGCAGCGATATAAACGCTATTAGCGTGGAACTGCCGGATGCTGAAGATAGTCAATCAGTTAATGGATTGAAGTATTTACCCCTCTGGCCAGCGGTAAACATTGAATTTTCTGGCCTGACCTACGAAGTGCCTGATCAGCGAAATGGTAAACTTTACTTCATCATTATTATTATTAACTTAGTACTTTAGATAGTCATGTATTCGATCCCAAGCTGATGATGGGTAAAAGGAATTCTCCTCCTGCTTTTAGTAAGGCCATTGGGGCATGGACCTTGATTTTACCTATGGTTTATATTCGTTTATAATATTTTGAAACTTATTCATTTATTTGCATCAAGCCCAAAAGACAAAACAAATTTTACGTGCCGTGAATGGCGAGTTCCGATCTCACGAGCTAACCGCGATCATGGGACCATCCGGAGCAGGAAAAACAACGCTATTGAATTTACTTGCTGGATTTGGGTGAGTAAAGTTATAGAACTCAATCAGAGAAAAATAAGTAAGCGATTGGGATTTTCCCTGTAGGTCGATTGACCCATCTGGCAAAATTCTGGTCAACAGCAGCCCACGCAACATGCGAATCTTTCGCAAAATGTCACGATACATTATGCAGGTATTTATATCCAATTTATTCATTCAACGGAGTGTGACAAGTTTATTCAATGTTACACAGACAGATATACTCGACCTGCAGTTCACCGTGCGAGAGCTGATGCTCTTAGCGGCTAACTTGAAGCTAGGTAATGAATTAAAATTAGCTCAAAAGCTGGAAGTGGTAAGCGGAATAACAATATTTCAACTCACTTAGCCCAACTACACGTATGCCATTTGCATATAGATCGAAGAAATCTTGGGCATGTTGCGCTTAACAAGTGCACAGAACACAAAGGCAGAAAAGATTTCAGGTGGAGAGCGAAAACGGCTTTCGATAGCGCTGGAGCTGGTTAACAATCCACCTATTATTTTTTTGGATGAGCCAACAACGTAGGTTTCAGAAAAGATTTTTGGAGATATTATTATTATATTCTCGTTCTTACAGTGGCCTGGACGACCTTTCGAGCTCACAATGCATTTCACTTCTGAAAATGTTGGCAAATGGCGGCCGCACCGTCATTTGCTCCATACATACACCTTCCGCAAAGATTTTCGAAATGATTGACAAAGTGTACGTGCTCGCTGAGGGTCAGTGTATTT